GCTTGGACGGTCACCTAATTGGCTTGACTGATAGGGACGTGGATTTGTATGTTGAGTCATTACACTGTAATATTAGCTATATATCTAACTCAGCTTTTTATATGACGTAACCCCAGTACTTAGCTATTACAAGTGTTTCCAAGCCTATAAACCTTCCTGAAGCCGAGCCACAAACTTAAACACGCTCTGTTTACTATCAGCGGCGGGAGCCTTTCTGCTCTTGACTAGTATGTCATTGCTATACAAAGTGATTAATGTAAACAATACGTGACGCCAGTATGTAAGGGGCGCATGGAGAATGTATTGTTGTATGAGAATGACTTTTTGTTTTCTTAGAAATTTCTTTCCAATATTAAGGTGCGTCTTCCAAGATGACGAGGCTTGTAAGCCTGAAAATACTGTAGATTTAGGTATTAAATAACCCATAGAGATGATGATATGCCGCTAAACAAAATCAACCAACCAACTGTCCTGTACAAAAAACGAATGACAAATCGGTTAACTGAAGGAAGAAATTAAGAAAGTAAACAGAAAAATGCTGATATATTCCGAGCACAGTAATTTGGGATGTAAAATAAAAGAGCAGGCGAATAAATAAATGAATGAAAACCCAAAGACAGAGAAAGAGATGAGTCTATTTGCAGCAATGAGTCAATTTTGGATGGGTAAGCAGGTCGAGCTTGTAATACAATAAAATGCTTGTCGTTAAGAGAAACAGACGCGAGAAGGATGGATAAGGACGCTAAGAGTTATAGCAATCGGTGTGGGAAAGGCGGGAAGTTGGTTGGAGATCAGACGACACGAGCAAATGGGGCAGGCGAGATAATGTCGTTCCAAACATGTCGTCTGCAACAAAAATAATAGAGAAATAAAGACGAAAGACAGACAAAACGAATAATGTATGAATGAATGAAAAGGGGAAAATGATTGAAAGTAAGAGAATTAGCTAAACCAAGAATAATAAAAAGATAAACGTTTCAATTTGTTTCTTTCTTAATTTCTTAATAAGCATTTTCATTTCTTACTATTTTTCTTTCATTTTTCTTTTCTTATTTTCTCTTTCTCTCCATTGTTTATTAGTTCCTTTTGTGCTTCTTCATTAATTTTTTGATTTCTTTTTTTCTCTCTTTTTTTCTTTGTGTTCACTGCTTATATTCCCTTCCTTTTTTTCTCTTTCTTCTGTAACAATAGTCTTTCTTTCCTTCTGTTTTTTTTTCTTTCTTGTTTTCTTTCTTTACAATGTTTATTCGTTCTTTTTTATTCTCTATTTTTTCCTATCACTTTTCCCTATTTTTTTCTCTTTCTTTCCCGTGTTCTTTCTTTCTTTCTTTCTTTTTTCAATGTTTATTTGTTCCTGTATTTTTTCTCTTTTTTTTCTATCAGAATATTATTTCTTTTTTTCGTTATTCTTTTTTGTTTTCTTTCTTTTCCATGTTTAATAGTTCCTTTCTTTTTCTTCTTTCTTTTTTCTTCTCACTACCAATTTTTTTCTTTCTTTTTAGCTTTCTTTTTCTCACTCTTTTTCTCTTTATTCTTTTTTTCAATGTTTATTCGCGCCTTTCTTTTTATTAAAAATATTCTTTTTTTTAACTGTCTTTCTTTCTTGTTTTCTGTCTTTCTTTCCCTCTCTCCCTTCCCACCTTATTTCTTTTCAATGTCTATTCGTTCTTTTCTTTTTCTTCTCTCTTTACCCTATCAATTTTTCGGCTTTTCTTTTCGTTTTCTTTGCAGTATTTTCCTTCTGTTCTTTACTCCTTTATTTTTCGTTTCCATTATTCTTTTTCTAAAGATTTTCTTTCTTCATAATGCATTTTTTCGCTTAGTCAATTTATTCAATTTTTTATTTTCCTTTGCACTTTTTTCTCCAATAATTTTCTTTCATTTTAATATTGTCATTTCTGCTTACTTTTCTTTTTCTTTCTTTTTCTTTTTCTATTTCTTTCTTTCATTATATTTCTCTTTCTATCTTACTTTATTTATTACTATATTTCTTTCTGTCTTTCTTTCTTTCTTTCTTTCTTTCTTTTTCGTTCTATCTTTCTTCCTTATTCTCTTTCTTTCTCTCTTTTTTCTTTATTTATTTCTTTGTTTTTTCTTTCTTTCTTATTTTCTTTTTCTTTCTGTCTTTATGTCTCTCTTTCTTTCTTTTTCTTTCTATATTTCATTCTTTCTCTCTTTCTATCTTTCGATCTTACTTTATTTTTCTTTCTATCTCGCTTTCATTCTTTCTTTCTATCTTTCTTTTTATTTCTACATTTCTTTCTTTCTCTCTTTCTTTCTTTCTTTCTTTCTTTATTTCCCCCTTTCTATCTTTCTTTCTTTCTATCTTACTTTCTTCCTCTTTCTATCTTACTTTCTTTCTTTCTTTCTTTCTTTCTTTCTTTCTTTCTTTCTTTCTTTTCATAATGTTTCTCTTTCGTGCATTTTTTTCTCCTCTTCTTTTTCATTTCTCCCCTCCTATAACGATTCTCCGTATTTCTCTATTTCTTTTTATCTCTAAGACACCATTTTATTCCATGCGAAGCGCCATGTTCTTTATCCTTCTCATTCTAAAACGCCATTAGTGAAGTCGATCTTTTTGGGAGACTTGATAAACTGACTCGTCATTTGCTTTTGAAGCGCTATACTCTAAAGTACGCATCGAATGGACGTGATTAAAAGAGACGATGGCACCCTGGATATTATCCTTTGGCTAATTTTATTTTTCCACATCCTAATTTAAAATTAGATTTCAGGATAGACTGGCTAGAAAATTAATTGGTGGACGTGGCCGAGAAAGAAGAAAAAAAAAGCTTTCCTTGGATGGATTTATTTTCGCTTTGTGACTTATTTTCTTTCCGGGAAATTAATCTAAATTCGAGTAGTTGTCAGATGTTTGTAATAAACACACACACACACACACACACACACACACACATATATATATATATATATATATATATATATATATATATATATATTAAGTTTTTGATGTGAGTTTGTGACCCTGGGTTTCACGCTATTTGCGATCGTCAGACAAACTGATTATTTTTTCAAATTTTGGATTTTATATTTTACACACACACACACACACACACACACACACACACACACATATATATATATATATACATATATATTTCCTGTCTTTTCTACAAATATTTTCATGACAGCTACGAAAAAATCCAGAGACGGATATGCAATGTGATAGGTCCAGTTCTGGCATCTCGTCTACAGTAACTTTCTCGCAGATGTGCTGTGGCTTCTATCTGTCTTTTCTCAGTCCCACCCTATTCAGTGTCGAAAGAAAAATAAAGTAAGATAGAAAGATAGAAAGAGAGAAAGGAAGCAAGAATACAAGATAGAAAGAAAAAGAAAGAAAGGCAGACAGAAAGAAAGAAAGACAGAAGGAAAAATAAAGAAAGAAAGAAAGAAAGAAAGAAAGAGAGCCGTCACTACTACTCAACAGTTTTTTTTTATCTCGCACTCCTTGACAGTGGAACACGCTTCCTCCTATTTGCTTCCCTGATAGCTCTAATCTTCAAATATTCAAATGTAATGTCAATCGACATCTTCTGATGCATTAATCTTGATCCCCGTCCTTCTCTTTATCCTATCCTCGAACACCATTCTTTAATCTTACTCTCACTCTCTGTAAACCCTTGAGTGCTAGTAGCACTCTCGCCTTGCTTGGGGTGAAGTGCTTAAAAAATACTCTGACTAGCGTTTTTTACTGATGTCCCGATTGCATGAATTCAAGTGAGCCACTAGATTGGCATCTAGATTCCACTCGTTTACGGTTGAAGTAACTAAATGCATCCGCCTCTTATACTTTCTTTCACGACCTTCCGCCTATGGAACTCACTTCCGTTTCCTTGATGCCATGAGAACTACAATCTTCAAAAATTTAAATGCAATGTCAAACGTAATATTTCTATTTGAATCCCGTTCATCTTTTGTCCTTTCATCATACTCAGTCATTGCTCTCGTTTTGACTCCCGTAACCGCCTGCGTGCCAGTAGATTCGCTGCCTTGCCTGCGGTGAATTATATATATATATATATATATATATATATATATATATATATATATCCCTGACGACCTGCTTAGGTGAAACCTGGGTAGGTTTGTCTGGCTCACTATGTTTATCTAGGTCTGCTCTACGGTTGTATTGAGCTCTTTTCAGTTAGTTGTTTACTCGTATCTGGGTTTTTTCTTTGGGCTTTAAACCTATATCGATGCGATTTTTTCAACAGACTTTCATGTTCCTGACTATTTCTTTTTTTAAAACCATTTTTTTTGAACCTTAGAGATTGATTTGATTATTGGCAAATCAAAAATCGAAAAGGTTTTGGAGACGAGTATAGTTACATATATATATATATATATATATATATATATATATATATATATATATATATATGTATGTATGTATGTATATATAAAGTCATACACAAATAGACTGTTTCGCAGCTCTTCAGTGTGGCTAGACATCCAGTTGCCTCTAGCTGAATTGGTGTCAGTCGGAGATTCTACCCCTAAGCCGTCGGCGCACGGCAGGGATGAAGGTGAATTTTAGCGTATTTATTTTTAGATAAACATACACAGTGACCGACAGTGACTCAATTCGCTTTTGCCGAAGAGTCTCGCTATATCAGCCATAGTAGTCACTGTTTACAAACCCACACGTCTTCCCCAGAGAGCTCAACTGAAATTAATTTTTCAGGAGCCTATATATATGTTGTAAGAGTCTGGTCGCAAATTTACCGTGACTTTTTAGTGGATTATTTTCTCTTTTATTCAAAGTAGCTAACCCTATTTCGAAATTGTGGTCAGTTTCGTTACAGTGAACAACAAACATTTTTTTGCCTTTTTTTTTTGTTATATAGGAATAAAGTGTCGCTGTCGAAACTTTAATTTGAATTTAGCCAGTGAGCAAACACAGGCGACCCCATTATTGAATTAAGTAAGCCACGTCACCATAGAGAAAACGCATATATACGCGTGACGTCTAGATTGATCATTATTTCTATTCTATTCTCTATTACTGTTGTGGATTCCGTGAATGTTAATCCTGCACAAATAAATAAACAACGCCAGTAATTGAGATAGAAAAATAAATGTATTAAACGTAAGAATACAGACTTGAAGTTAAAATTAGTAGTTCAGGAATACGGGTTAGTAGAAAGTATATGTACAAGTCTCTGTAAGTAATCATCTCTCTCTCTCTCTCTCTCTCTCTCTCTCTCTCTGGACTCTTGTATAACTCTCTGAGAATACCCTGTGCCTGTATCCGTATCTTTCAACCTGTCTCCACGTATCTCCACGTATCTCAACGTATCTCGGTATTTAATATCCCACGCAAGAGTAATATATGTGGCACAAGGCCGAGTTTAAAGTGGGTTTCTCCGAGCCCGTAGGCTCAGCCAAAAATATACCCTTTGAATCCGCCTAGACGGGTTCAGGGCCTATCTACCTTCCCGCACGAAACCTTCCCCTTCGGCAAAGCTTCGTCCGGGTTCCTCTCTGGCAAAGCAGAGAGTCCGACAGACGTCGAGACTGTATCTCAACGTATCTTAACCGCAGGTATTCTGTCTGTCAGTATAAGTATACTTTGGACGAGTCCATCTTATGTAAAAATAAGGGAGAGACCCACAACAATTACTATTTGGATCGTCATTTCTATTTTATCCTCTAAACTGTACGGATCGTTATTTCTACTCTATCCTCTATACTATTCAGATCTACATTTCTAGCCGATACTGTTTATTTACTCTATTCACTATACTATTTCGCTCTACTGATCACTATTTTGTGGTTACTATTTGAGCGAGTATTATCGACCAAGTGCGAGAGTTATCTGAAGGCGGCTGAAAAAAAGTATTTTTCATCTTTGAGGAAATCGTCCAACATTCGCTGCCGTAAAGAAGGACAGATATCACATAACATTTCACTATTCTTTTCTTTATCTCTTTATGTGCCATGTCCTTTCAGGACGTAGGCGATCATGGCTCTCCACCTCCTCCTATCTCTTGCAGCTCTCAACAAGTTACTTCCCTCTGCTTCCTCCCCAAGACCACGTTCTATCATTCACTTGATTAAGTCCGTCAAGTATGTCACGTGTTGTTTTCCCTTGTCTCTCTTTCCCTCTATTCGATCCGTGAGTATCAGATTCTCCTGGCCCTCCTTCCACTTTATGTGTCCCAGGAACTTCAGCTGCCTCTTCCTGATATTAAGTATAAATCTCCTTTTTGTTTGCATCCTCTCTAAGACCTCATCGTTGCTCACACGCTCGGTCCATGATATCCTTAGCATTGTTCTGTACAACGTCTCGAGTCTCTTCTTCATCTTTGAGGAAATCGTCTAATATTTGCTGCCGTAAAAAAAGGACAGATGTCTCGTAGTCAGTTATGTGCCATGCGTGATACACGCTTTGGCGATAATGTATCCTTCGATACATGACTGATGAGGCAGATGTTTTTTTTCCGCAGTTTGTAACAGTTCAGTATTCTTTTCATTGCTACCAAAGAAATCCTCCTGTCTTGCAGTACTCTGCCCAGCTTTTGGAATGTGTTCTTGGCCATCCCAATACGTCTACGGATCTCAATGTGGCACTAACTGTCCTCTGTCAAGACGCTACCCAGATATTTAACCTTCCGCGTTTGCTTGATTCTAGTGTTGCCGACCTGCAAATTGCATTTCTGCACCTTATAATCAGTGACGGCCCTATCTGTCTATATTTCCCTGTGGAATTAGTTCTTGCTTCGTCTAATTCGCAAGAGGTACCAAATGTCCACGATGCAGAAGAAAATCAATATTCTGCCATTGAAATTAAGCGAAAATCAAGAGTTATTATAGCTGTATCTGCGATTACAAAGTCTCTACTACAACGAGAATTGCGAATGTGACAACGAGTATTCGTTGACATTACAAAATTTTTTAATGTCGATCACAATTTCCTAACCCTTGGTAGTTTTCCCCCTTTACTCTCGCACTACATTCCGACCTCCATTCACAGAATTATGTATACCCCGAGAGAGTAAGGCTTTTTTAACGCTCCTTCAAGACGCAGGCGATCATGGCTCTCCACCTCTTCCTCTATTCCTTGCAGCTCCCAAGTTTCTTCCTTCTGCTACATCCTCAGACCACGTTCTGTCATCCATTTGCTTAAAGTCGCTAGGTATGTCATGCATTGCTTTCTCTTGTCTCTCTTTCCGTCTATTGGACCCGTGAGTATCAGATTCTCTTGGCCCTCCTTCCTCATTGTGACCCAGGAACTTCAGCTGCCTATTACTGATGTTAAGTACAAGATTCCTCCTTGTTTGCATCCTCTCTAAGTCCTCATCGTTGCTCACACGCTAGGTCCATGATATCCTCAGCATCCTTCTGTAGAACCACATCTCTGTCGCCTCAAGTCTCTTCTTCATCTTTGAGGAAAACGTCCAACATTCGCTGCCGTAAAGAAGGACAAATGTCACGTAACAGCGCAGTATTATTTTCTTCGTTACCAAAGAAATTCTC